GACACTGAGGGTTGTGATCCCGTTACCGGTCACGAAAAAAGACAAAAAAAGGAAAAAAAAAAAAAAATTCCAGTATGGGCACCAGCTGAAAAGATGAGGAAGCAATACGTGATACCTTCTCTATTTGATTAAACCTATTGAAAGGTCTGTAATGTAATATGAAACAAAGAAAATCTGTAGTAAAAAAAAGTAGCTTGAGACAGAGAAAAAATTTTATCATCCTATAAGAAGAAACAGAGCCTTGAAAAAAATAAATAATAGCTGAAATTAAAAAGTGACAAGAAACATAATTCAGAGAATGGGCAAAATATCTTTTAAATGTCTAAAAAGATTTAATGAAGGTCTAGAATCCACAGAAAAACACATTGAGGGGAAAAAAGACTATTGTCAAGTTATTAGATGTAGGGTAAGTAAGAGCATCATTAGAATAAAAAAATTGGTGCAAAACAGTGATGCTGGTGACAAATTAAGGAATTTTTGAAAAAAAAATTAAGTACGTGAGACTATTTCAGTAAAAAATTTCTAATTTAAAAGGGCATGGAGGTAATTATGTCTAAGGAAAATGTGTAAAGGGGTGGTACAGGGTTTGTATTTAATTATAGTAGTGAAAAATATTTCATAAATACAAAAAAGATCTTAGCCTGGAAATTAGAAGATATTTATGCCCCATTAAAGCTTAAACAACCACAGAATGGTGTCTAGACATAAACTGTTTTAAATTTTGAACTTTGATGATAATTTAGAAATCTGCAGGCTAATATAGGTTACAGGAGAGACAATTACTCAAACGAATGCTAATTATAATAACTTCATATTTAGTAAGCCAAATAATAAAAATCTGGGAATGGTGGGCTAAGATCTTGAGGATATTTAAAGTGAAGGTGTGTTCTAGTGTATCGGTCCGTTTGTGTTGCTATAACAGACATACCTGAGATCGAGTGATATATAAAGAACAGAGGTTTATTTGGCTTATGATTCTGGGACAGCTGCATCTGGCACGGGCTTTAGGCTGCTTCTGCTCATGGCGGAAAGCAGCAGGCAGCTGGCGGGTACAAGCAGATCACATGGCGAGAGAGGAAGCAAGAGAGAGAGAGAAAGAAGAGCTTCCAGGGTCTATTAAACAACCAGCTCTCGCAGGAGCTAATAGAGTGAGAACTCACTCATTAATCCCCCCACCTAGGGAGAGCATTAATCCATTCATGAGGGATCTGCCCCCATGACTCAATGAGTTTCCAACACTGCCACATTGAGGATCAAATTTCTGCATGAGCTTTGGGGGGACAACACATCCAAACTCTATCACCTAGGTATCAGTTGACCTAGCTGATTTGAGAATTTATTTTCCTCTAGCTCTCTTTCCTTAAAGTAGAAAGACTTTTATAGATCCATAAACATAGAAAAAACATGCAGACTAGATTTGATAGCTTGACAGTTTCAGTTATTATTTTCAAGCATAAACTAGAATGAAAAAGGACATTTAGGTTTTTTGTATACATAGACATGTTTTTTTTTTTTCCTTTTTGTCTTTTTTCATGACCGGCAACGGATCGCAACCCTCAGTGTCGCGCCCGTACCGGACTGGGACCAGCAACGGGATCGCAACCCTCGGTGTTGC